ATTTAGCATCGGAGAATCGACACCAGAGAGAAACCCTCTGAATGTGACGAATGTAGGAAGACTATTTGCCAGTGTTAAACTTCATCGACATCTGCAAACCCATACCAATGAGAAAATCTACGAATATATTGAATGTGGTAAATGCTTCATGCCATTTTCATACCTTAGTCACCATTGGAGAATTCTTAACTGGAATAAAATTCCATCACCATAATAAATGTGAAATAGCCTTCAAAGTAACTACCTTGCTCAGCATCAAATTCATTCCATGCAGGAAGCCTATGAATGTAATAAATACGTATGCACATGGGAGGATTCAGTCATATTCTACCCCTTACTCAACGCTAAAGAATCCATGCCCAGGAGAAGCCATTCAAGTGTAGCAAAGGTGACAGATCTTCCAGTAGGAGTTAAAGTCTTTTTCATCATTAGAATCTCCACACCAGATCACAATCTGCTAATAATGCAAATGGAAAAAATGTACTTCTACATTTCAGGCTTTACTCAACATCAAAATATTGGAGAGAAAATTTTATATAAAGTTGTTAATATATAGCCCTGATCTTTCTCATTGCAGAAGAAGATAGTCTGAAGAGTGACTTGATGCAATGCAGTGCTGATTCCTCATGGCATTCTTTTATTTAATAGGTGGTGTAAGTAGGTATATAAAATATATGGAACTCATTTAAACTATTTTTTAAAATATGGCCTACGAACATTTTTTTTTCCTGCAATTTGGTTCCCGTTACAGCTTCTCTAAGATATTGTTAATATACCAATGTAAAGACATAATTAACTTCTGGAAAGTAGCTCATTTAGCTGTTTCTGCTGTTCTCAGCCCAAGTTCTCTCCAAAACAGACTCTTAGGTCTGCTGTTTCCTGAGCATCCTACTCTCCTGTTCCTTTCCAGGCACAACACTTGGATTCCTGTTAATTTCTCCATTTTCTTAGTACCGTCAAATGATGGTTTTCTAGTTTTAAGCATCTCACCAGCAGGTATGCCGTCCCTACTTGATGTTCGTGTTCTGGTGTCTTTTTTCCTAAAGTAAAGCATCTACCTTTAAAAAGAATTGGAATTCCGCATCCTGTCCATCCATGCGTTTGAAGGATTCCATCTCTGCTCTGTTTGTGGCAGGCAGCTACACATTTTCAAATGACACCCAAGTTCTTAGCTGCCTTGTCTGCATCCACAGCCCTCTAAAAGAGATAAGGACATCAGGGAACCAACAAGACTCCTGGTGGTCTAGCTACATTCATTCAGCACCTATTCTGCATGTCAAGGTTTAGAATTATTTTATATACTTCTGTTGAAGTCCAGCAAAATGCTCAGGTCTGCTTTTGATAGGGGCCAAATAAAAGAACATACACAGAAAAGTCAGAGAACTTCATAAGGGAATGCAGCTTTTCAAAAAAGATACTGCTGTTCTTCTTTAATCTCTCTGGAGAGAGAATTTCAAGAGTGGCAGGTATTCCTGATACAATTTTAACCACTACGATTGCTTCTTCATCTGTTTGGATTTTTGCCCCCCTCTCCCATCAGTCCAGGACAGTATTTGAAGTGTGGGGGCTTTGTGTATAATTGTTTATTCATCATCACATTTTCTGTATTTTATGAGTCTGCAGGCCAAGAACTTGGTTTTTTGATTGATAAAAGTGATTACAGATGTCAGGATGTCCAGAGTTCAGGGTCTCTGTCAACAACTCGCCAAGAATTCATGATTGTTTAGATGATGTTAGAGCATTTTATTATATTTTTCCATCTCAAGTTTCATAACATTTTGTGAATAAGATGTCACTTAAAAGTCTTACTGTCATTCCAGCAAGTGAGGCCTTCGTAGTTCAGATGTTACAATATTTACTAGGGATCCTCAACAAATATATAACAATTTATTGCTTATTCTATAATCCTCTTATGGCTAAGCTCTAAGATAGTTCTACCACCATATTTTGCCTCTTAGCCGTCAGCAAGCATAGAATCTTATCAGGGCAAAGTAGAGATCTAAATGAATTGATTTAAATGTAAAAGCAAATGAAAAATGCATGTTTTTTCCCCTTGTTTATGAATGTGTATGCCCTTATGTACAGAGACCAATGGTCACTTCTGGTGATTATGAAACAGATTAAACCCTAAATAACAGAATATGTAAAAATCACATGTATGCATTTGGTTTAGGAATGTGCTTTTGTACTTCCACTTGAATAAAGGTGTGTTTGATACTCAGAATCTGTTTCAAAAAGTATCTCAAGGCCTCAACCAGAAGCATTTGGAAATCTTGGAATCACCTTCCTGGCTGTGACTCACTTCCTTCCAGAAACCTAGATCACCCTCTTTCATACTGATACAAAGCTTGCTCTTCCACAGACTTCGGGAACAAAGTCCATTGGAATGTTGAGGATTTTAAGATTTGTTCAGTTAGGATTTTGTTGGCACATAAATAGTTTGAGGTTTCAGTAGAACTAGGCAGAGTGTGTGTGTGTGTGTGTGTGTGTGTGTGTGTGTGTGTGTGTTAAATAAGTAAAACATTTAAAAAAATGAGAAGCCAAAATAATTCTGGAGGACAATTAACTTGCCTCTTTAAACTTGTGATATTTAATCAGTCCAATATAATATGAGTTTGTGTTATTAGTCTTTTAATCTTGAAGATTGAGGAGGGAAGAGATCTAATAGTTGAGGTCTACCAGATTTATCTTCTATCAGTCCACCTACCTACATGCGTATGTATGTATATTCATAGTCAGACCTAATTCTTACAACTCCACAAGGGAACTAGCTCCATTTTACAGAGGAACTGAAGTGTAGAGAGGTTGAAGAATCTGTTAGGGTCACTCAGCAAGTTAATGGCTCAAGTCAGGCCTGACTCCAGGCTTTCCATCGTCATGATGTTGGTGTTAGACACATCCCAGAACCCAGAGAAGTTTTCTTTGATAGCTCTTCATTCCCTGTTATATCCTCAGTGGTTGACTATTACCAGTTTGCAGTTAATCTGAATGCTTCCAGAGCTGTCTGGAGTACTACTAGAGTATTCAAGGTACTCTCCATATCTTTGGGGAGCAAGTCAGAGATCCTGCTCCCTGAAACAGGCTTAGATAATTTTGACAATGACATGCCACAGGTCAGAGCTTCCAAATTCTTGACCTCCTGTCAAGCTATCCCAGCTCCCATCACTATACACATTTCCATTTCTCAGTGGCCAGAATGTGCTCTTTTCCCCTGCTAATTGGAACTTGCTGACTGATGGACATGTATTAGGTTTCCTATCACTTCTGATTAAATTATAGCAGTGAACAGGGTGGGTAATGGGAAAATCAAGTTTGATTACTAGGTTTTTTTTTTTTTTTAAAGATTTTTATTTATTTATTTGTCAGAGAGAGAGAGAGGGAGAGAGAGCGAGCACAGGCAGACAGAAAGGCAGGCAGAGGCAGAGGGAGAAGCAGGCTCCCTGCTGAGCAAGGAGCCCGATGTGGGACTCGATCCTCTCATCCGGGGCCCTCATCCGGGGCCCGCCTTCCGCCCACGGTCGTCGGACTCCGCCTCCGGAAGTGCCACTGAGAAGCGCCGGGCTCCAACCGGTCTAGAGCGACCCCGGAAACCCCGGGGCTGCTCCTAGAGCGAGGGTGTCCGCGACGGGACGGCCGCCTGGCCTGTCCCTCAGCACGGGTGAGTGCCCGGCAGCCGTTCTGGGGTCGCGGTAGGCGTCGCCGTTGGTTTAGGCTCCTGGGAAGGAGGAGGAGGAGCTCCGTTCCGGCCGACGGCGGTTCCCGTCCCCAGGAGCGCTGCAGGGCTGGGGTGCGAGGGCCTGTTTTTCTTCAGTCAGGTTTCACCCTGACGCCCCGCGGACTAGGGCCTCGCCGCCGGGGCTCGGTGACCCTGCTGTGGTGCAAGCTGGGTGTCTGGGCCCCGCCCCGCCCTTCGGGGAGCGAGTCTTCACCTAACAGGGAAGTGGGAGGAGGGCAGCGCCGGGCGAGGCCTTCCGAGGGCTGGGCGCCAGGGCCGTTTCTGAGGGTTGTGGAAGCGGGACGGAGCCCTGTGGCGTCCTTGGATTTGAAGGACACGAGCCAAACTGTTTGAGACGCAGCTCTTCCCTGGATCACTGTCAGGGCCGTGGGAAGCGGCCTGCCCAACTCGTCTGCGTTGCTGAACTGTATGACCAACCCCCCTCCCCCACCAAAGTGGGAATTTTGTCATTAGGCAAGCCCATTTAGTAAATCATAGTGGGCAGGCAGAGTGTTTGCCAAGTAATGCCTCGGGGGCCTGCTTTAAAAAAAAAAAAAGTAATCATAACTAGTATGTTTCTCAGGGTACAGACTTGACCCTTGAAAGAAGTTTGTATATTTCAGATATTTTAAACTTTCTTCAGAAATGTTTATTAAGTTGAGCTTTTTTTTTTTTTTTAAAGATTTTATTTATTCATTTGGTGGACAGAGATCACAAGTAGGCAGAGAGGCAGACAGAGAGAGAGGGGGAAGCAGGCTCCCTGCCGAGCAGAGAGCCCAATGTGGGGCTCTATCCCAGGACCCCTGGATCATGACTGAGCCGAAGGCAGAAGCCTTAAAAGTTGGGCTTTCTTGATTTTTTTTCCCCCTGAAGTACCACAAATGCTGAATAAGTGGAATTTAAAGCTGTCTAATTGGACCATGTGATTTGGCTCTTAAATATTTGAAACTGAATAATTTCCATTTTTTTCTTTTTGTTTTATTTAGGTGGCTAGTCATTATTAACTGTTTCTGTTGAGTATCTGCAGCGTGTGAGATACTTGGCTAAGTCCTGAGGATGTAAAAGGATGGGCTGACTTAGCTTATTACAGTAAATTCTCACAGTCTGACCTGGCAGTGATGGTCCTTGTCCTTCAGAACAGGGATGGAGGAAATACCCGCCCAGGAAGCAGTTGGATCACCAGTTGTCCAGTTTCAGTCTTTGGAGAGCCTGTCTGAGGGTCTGTCCCCAGAGCCTCCGTTCGCACAGGACACCGACATGGAACAGGAGCTCAACGGGGGTAAGGCTGAGAGAGCACTGAAATCCAAGAGAATGGGGATACAGTGGGGCTTCTGGGTCTGGTACGAGAGAGGCCGGGAACTTCTCTAAGAAGATGGCCCCTAGGGGAGGTCTGGAAGGGAGGGACCAATGTGACTCAGTTCAGTCCTCATCTTGGGCTCTTTTAAGGACAGCCTGTCTTTCTTTAATAGGCAGAGTGGTGGTCATTCACTCTGCTTTGGCTTTTTTTTTCATTCATACAACTTTCACTTCATCCTGGTTTCACATCCAGAAAAATTTTTAAGATATGTTGCTTTTGCTGTATCTCACAATCCTTGCCTCGCTTTTACTTCCTCTTAGAGTTAGGGCCCTTCTCTCCCCCTGTTCCCTTCACTTAGTCTTTTCCCTCCTTGATGACTTTGCGAGCTTTGCCACCTGCCATTCTGTTGCAGCTGCAGTGTTTGTGACTAATCTAAATTTGGCCCAAAAAGCAAATTCTTGGGTCGAGCGTAACGCCTGTATGAGTATACACATTTCACATATTGACTCAACAGTAACATCTTTATGTATCATATAAATAGGTTGATGTGTTTTGTACTTCTCGTGTTTTGTAAGAACATTGTTTTAAATTGCTGTGGCCGACTGCATTGCCTGAAATAACTTCAGTGTCAGCAACACCAGTTGAGTGCTGTGGTGTGTAGAGTGCTGTGGGGCGTTGTGGGAGTGTGGAAAAGGTTGTGAGGAAACAGATGACCATTCCTTATTCTTGGGAGCCTTACGCAGTGGTTACAGAGACAGTGTCCATTCACATGAAGGCTTACTAAAATTTACGTAACAGTAAATCAACTAAGTGGTCATTTCTCTGGACAAGTCACTGCAGGTCTTTGTGCTTTGCTTTGCCCATCTGCAAAACAGGTACAGTACTTACCCTCTTGTTAGAGGAATGTCCTGTCATGAGAATGTGGTGAAATACGAGATTTTATAAGAAAATCCTGAATCACAGGCCTAAACATGGGTAAGGAGGTCATGCTGATGTTGAGAAGGAGCAGAGTAGATGCACTCGGTACCTGAGAAACGTGCACTGGTTTTACTAGAATGTTGATGTGAAGAAGGGTCCCGCTGACTCCCTCTTCTGTCAGGGAGCCCTGGGGAAGGGTTGCTCTCACTCTTGGCTCCTCTCTCCTCCCTCAGCTCCACCTGTTCCCCAGGTGCCTGCTCTTCCCCATGAGGGAAGCCCAGGAGACCAGGCAGCTACGCTCCTGACAGCCAGGTACCAGGTGAGCTGAGGAACCCTCTGCTTTTTCCTCAGGGACTGTTGCTACTGATTGAGTGTGGCCCTTCCCTCATCCCATCCATAAACCCTGCCCTGAATTTTTTTCAATAGCAGACCCCAGTTTCGGAATTGACCCTCTTCAGAGACCTGGACTTCACAGAAACCACCTCCCCATGTCCCCACCTCCACCAGTAAACACTTTTCCTTCTCTATCTCTGGTGCTGTGATGGGCGTTTATTAGATATTAAAGGTTATGGAACTTATTCCCTAGTTTCTAGTCTGTTTTCCCTCCTCCCCAACTTTGTTGTACACTGGTCACTCTCTCTGTGTCATCTCCTTCATTTTCTGGCCAATATGCTATAGTGGCCTCATTCCCAGAGCAGCCAGGCTGTGTTATTTCAGGAGTTTGTGACATTCGAGGATGTGGCTGTGCACCTTACTCGAGAGGAATGGGGATGCCTGGACCCTGTTCAGAGGGATCTCTACAGAGAAGTGATGTTAGAGAATTATGGGAACGTGGTCTCACTGGGTAAGGACTTTCTTATTTTTCAGTTTACCTACTAGGATTTCTTTACTTCCTTGTTTCTGAGGAGGTTCGAGGTCTCTGAGAAAGTAGAGTGTGGCTCAGATTCCAGGTGTTAGAACCTCTGAATCCTCCATCTTCAAGGTCATCTCTGGGAGTGGGTTTTCTTGGGGGGGTGGGTTTCAGGAGGATACCTTGTACTCCTTTTCTTTAATTAATGATTCCTGCTTTTATGGGGCATCCGTTTCCTGTTAGAAAAGGGAAACTTGCTTGTGCTTTGCCTAAGTTCTTACCTTCTCTATCTTTTCCTTTTTTATGAGAGGGACCGACCTTAAGGTCTCCCAATCCACAAGTAGACACGTTCCTTCCTGGTAATTCAGTGCCCCTGTATCTGAAAGTTTTCCATTTTCCTTGGAAGAAGAAATCCTTTTTTAAATAAGCTAAAATCCTTGCTGAATGATCCCTCACCTCTTAACATTCCTAAACTCATCTCCAAGAGGCAGAGTTTGAGAGACTTCATTTAAAGACATGACTCACTGCGAGTCTATTTTCAGTGAGTCATCCAGATGGTAGTCCTAAGTAACCTTACCCGGAGCAGCAGAAGTTTCAGCTTTAAACTGAGTCTCTCCTTTGTCATTTGGGTGGTACAGTGGGCTGCCGGGATTGGGCCCCCAGTAGTGCTCTAGAGGGGCATCAGCAGGGCTGTTGGCAGCCCCCTTGATGTGAGCATTGCTCCTTTTCCTTTTTTTTTTTTTTTGCCAGTCTCTGCTTCTGCCTTTTTTTTTTTCCCCCCTAAATTTTTTTTTTTTTTTAATCCCTTTTTTTTTTTCTTTTTTTCTCTCTCTCTCTCTCTTTTTTTTTTTTTTTTTTGGCTTTGCCTATGCTGGTGGCATCCAGGGTGTTCCTTTGTCTCCTTGATTATGCTCAGGGTTAAAGCAGTCTTTTTACCTTTGGGGAGGCAGCCTGCCCACTGGGAAGGTTTTTAGTGTGTTTCCCATTCCTGGCTCTTTGATCTTTATAGGCATACTTCTCCGCCTTCCTACCACCCGGATTCATAGTGTGAATTCCTGCCCGGCCCTGAGTCATACCCAGGCAAGTGCTTTCTCTGGAGAAACACTTGCAGTTCTTTCAGCAGGAATCTCCAAGAGATGGCCCAAGTATCGGCTTCCCATCGATATTGCTCGTCCCCGCTCGGAAACTCCTTTTCCACGATTGTAAGATATCACACTTGATTGATGCTCTCAGGATGCCACCAGCATGTAAAATTGCAGCTCCTCAGATGACCTTTGTTAAATTTCGGAAGGGCCAAGGAGGCCCTCCGTTGCAACCAGATGAATTTTGAACCTGTGTTCTGAGTTCATTCAAAAGCCATGGTCGGTGGTCATCTACTTGTGTTCTGAGAAACCACAAAGTTCAACTCCAGCTCTTCAGTTAGAATCTTTTCATGTTATTTTAGAATGTGGAACATACGCTGTGCACCCCTCTTTTCTGTAGTGAATATGACCTGCCCCTTCTCTGGTCTGACTTTCCTGTGACCCCTGGGCTTTCCTCATGTTGAACACTCTAGTCTTCTCCTTTAAGTCCCTATCTCCCCGTCCCAAGGCCCTGACTTTGTCCCCTTTATTCTTTGTGGTGCTATACAGATTGATGAATTTAAATGACCTTTCCTGATCAAGTGTTCCTTAGCTCTGTCCTTGATGGATGGGAAATGGGAGGGCGAAAGAGTTTAATTTTTTTATTTCAGGGTATCAAATTGAATGTATATTTAACAACTTTGTAAACTGTAAAGTGATGTAATTGTAAACTACTGTTAATTTTATCTAATAATTACATAATTTCCAACAGTTAACCTGTCTACTTTTTGGAGTAAACTAACTTCTTAGCACTTTAAACAGCCTAGTAGCACAGCGTGCTATTAGACTGAATTTTATCCCATTTCCTGTGTCATCTCTGCACAAGTACAGGACACGCATGCACATGCACACGTACTGGCTACAGATGCATACAAGACCTCCCTCCCCTCCCCGCCGTTCACCTTGCTTTTGTGATCAAGTCAGCAGCATCTTTTTAGTAATTATTTTTTACAGTTCTTAGGAAATCATTTTTATATTTTTAGGGTCAGCAAACTCCACCTGAAATGTAAGTTTATACACGTAATTAGCTTAATGTTTGGTGTTGTAAAATACGGGCATTGTAATTCAGTTCCTGACTTAGCAGCCTCACTGTCAAGTTCACATCTTTTTCCCACGGCAGTAGCTCAGTTGTCACAGACATCAGAACTTTGTTCCTTTGGGTAAGTGCTTCTACTATATAGTGGTAAATATACAGAGTATGAACAGCTGAGTAAAAGAATAAAAAAGTAAAAAGTCGTATTTTTCATTACTAAATCTGAAAAGAAGTGTGTTCTGTTGACAGTGAGTGAATTACTGGCTTGAGGGTCATACCCAAAAGGAAGTTTTCTGTGACTTAGGAAAGTGGTCTGGTTTGCATTTCACACAGGGTCAGTGTGGCGGGTGCCTTATTCAATGACATCATTAGAAACATGCCTATCAGAATTCTGGTTGTTAAGTAAGTTAATAAATCAGGAAATGTTTGGCACATACTCTTTGCTTTTGAAAGTTGCTGTCATGAAAACAAAAATGATTTTGTATAGAATGTCTTTTACTGCCATGTCTATTTACTATTTATTGAAGAGCCAGTGTGTTACAAGGTATGATACAGATCTCATTTAATCCTTGCCATAACCCTGTAAGCAGATGTTATTCTATTTTATACCTGAGGAAACTCAGGCTCAAAAGTTAAGTGATCCACTCAGGGTCAGAACTAGGCGTAGGACTCAGATCTGAATCTGAAGCTCATGCTCTTTTTCATTGTTACGCCCCTTAGGACAATTAGCCCAACCACATACAGTGTTCTTTTTTTTTTAAAGATTTATCCATCTGTGTCTTTAGAGAGAGAGAGAGAGAGAGAGAGTGCAGTGGGGAGGGTCAGAGGGAGAGAAAGTCCCAAACAGATTCCGTGCTGAGTGCAGAGACTGACAGAGGGCTTGGTCTCACCACCCTGAGGTCACCGTCCTGAGATCACAACCTGAGTGGAAACTGAGTGGATGCTCAGTTGACTCTGCCACCCAGGGGCCTCACATGCGTTTTTTAAAAGTAGTCTTGTGGCTTTCTACTCTGATTACAATTAGAAAAATCCATCCAATTAGAAAAATTGGACAGATGGGCATTAGGTTGTACAGTTTGGGAGCAGAAAGAACATGCATTCGAGGGGCGCCTGGGTGGCTCAGTTGTTAGATGTCTGCCTTCAGCTCAGGTCATGGTCCCAGGGTCCTGGGATTAAGCCCCACATCGGGCTCCTTGCTCAGCAAGGAGTCTGCTTCTCCCTTTCCCACTCCTCCTTCTTGTGTTCCTGCTCTCACTGTCTCTTGTCAAATAAATAAAAATTTTTAAAAAACAAAACATGCATTGGAGAAGAAATAAAATTGTGTAGGGATACGTTCCATTAAAATAGGTATCTAGGGGCGCCTGGGTGGCTCAGTTGGTTAAACAGCTGCCTTTGGCTAAGGTCATGATCCCAGGGTCATGGGATCCGCTCCGCTTCTGGCTCCCATCTCAGCGGGGAGTTGCTTCTCTTGCTCGCTCTCAAATAAATTTAAAAACAATAGTTATCTACCTAAGAACAATATTACTAAGGAAAGATTTTGTGTACTAAGGATCAAGAAGAAGGGCATAAAGCTTCTAGGTGACTAAAATCTTAGCATAACTGGTATAGGCAACAAACCAAAAAATGAGGTGAATTGTAAATGCCATTTTTTAAAGACCAGAGTGAGTTAAAATAAATCTCATTGGAACACTGTCAAGGTTTAAATTTCAAAAATCAAAAGATTTTAATAAAGGATCAAATAATTTTTATTTATTTATTTATTTTAAAGATTTTATTTATTTGAGAGAGGGGGAATGAAAGAGAGCATGAGAGGTGGGAGGGTCAGAAGAACAGGCTCCCTTCTGAGCAGGGAGCCCAACGCGGGACTGGATCCAGACTCTGGGATCATGACCTGAGCTGAAGGCAATCGCTTAACCAACTGAGCCACCCAGGTGCCTAAGATTAAATAATTTTAGATAGGAAGAATTAATTGCAAATGCGTATTTTGAAGGCATAGAGTTCTGACTTTAAAATTTAGGAAAATTTTCGCATCATCGGCGATGCATTCAGGGCGATGGTAAGAAAACCAGCCTTAATGCTTCCTGTGACCCTTAGAATGTTAGACTGGAAAGAATATAAACTGTGGAATCAGACTTGGGTTCATCTTACATCGAGCAGATTATTTAAACTGGTATTCATTTTCTTCAACTCTGAAACATGAAAAATAATGTCTGCCTTTCTGGGTTTATGCCAAGGATTAAATTTATGCCCAGGATGAAATTAGATTAAATTACATGTGTGTAAGAACCTGGCTTGTGGTAGTTCCTTAAATGTTTTTTTAGAAAGGACTGCAAGTGAAAAGAGCTATAGATCAGATTAAAAAAAAAAAAAATTTCTTTTTAATTTTTAAGTAGGCTCCATGCTCAGCATGGAGCCCAAAGCAGGGCTTGAACTCACAACCTGGGATCAAGACCTGAGCTGAGATCAAGAGTCGGATGCTTAATCAACTGAGCCACCCAGGTGCCCCAGACTAGATTTTTTTTTTTTTAAGATTTTATTTATTTATTTGACAGAGATCACAAGTAGGTAGAGAGGCAGGCGGGGGGGTGGTGGGGTGGTGGGGGTGGGGAAGCAGGCTCCCCGGCGAGCAGAGAGCCCGATTCGGGGCTCGATCCCAGGATGCTGGGATCATGACCTGAGCTGAAGGCAGAGACTTTAACCCACTGAGCCACCCAGGCGCCCCTAGATTTTTTAATATAAACAAATTTCAGGAGTGTATTCAAATTATTTCTTTATAGTGGTATTTCCTCAAATTGAATGTTGCTCATACTTTTGTAAAGGAGTTTGGATTTTTATTTTAAAGAGACTTTCATTTCTTTGACACTATGTGATCTTTTAGTTTGCTTTTAATTAGAACATCCATGACTGCAAATCTGTTGGGTCCTGGCTCTCCGTGTATTACTCTAATAACTATTTCTCTGTCCTCCGGGCGGGGTGGGGGCGGAGAACAAAGGGAGAAGCAGAGCGGGGAGTCTGAGATGGGACTTGATCCCAGGACTCCAGGATCATGATCTGAGCCAAAGGCAGACGCTTAACCAACTGAGCCACTCAGGCACCACTATGTCTTCTTTTTATTTATTTACTTTTTACTCCATTGTCAGTATGTTGATCTTCTGTTGTCTTTCTGTACGTATGTTGGAGGAAGGGACAGATTTCATTCACAACCATTATTTTTTATACTAGCAGATTATGTAAAAGCCAGGTTCTAAAAGACTGGTGTTGAGCCCTAGGTTCACTAGTTGTGATCTTGGGAGAGTTACTTTCTTTTTTTTTTTAGATTTTATTTATTTATTTATTTGTTTATTTATTAGAGAGAGAGAGAGATCACAAGTAGGCAGAGAGGCAGGTGGAGGGAGAGGGGGAAGCAGGTTCCCTACTGAGCAGAGAGCCCGATGTGAGACTTGATCCCAGGACCCTGAGATCATGACCCAAACCGAAGACAGAGGCTTAACCCATTGAGCCACCCAGGTGCTCCAGGGCAAGTTACTTAAATTGTCAGTCTTAGTTTTCTTATTTGTAAAATGGGTACAATGGTGGTTTCCACTTCATGAAGTTAGGATTACTATTAAGTTAGTGAAAATTTATAAAGTTCTTGGTGTGGTACTGTGGATCTACCAAATGTGCAGTAAGTGTTAGCTTAATTATTTTAATGATACTGATGATACAGATTTTTTTTTTAGATTTTATTTATTTATTTGACAGAGACACAGTGGGAGAGGGAACACAAGTAGGGCAAGTGGGAGAGGGAGAAGCAGTCTCCCCGCCAAGCAAGAAGCTTGATATGGACTTGATCCCAAGACCCGGGGATCATGATCTGAGCCAAAGGTGGCCGGCTTAACCAACTGAGCCACCCAGGCGTCCCAAAACTATAGTCTTTTATCTCTAACTGCCTACTAAGTTTTTTTTTCTTATTCCTGACTGCGTTAACTTAAGCACGATCTAAAATCAAATGCTTCTGGGGTGCCTGGGTGGCTCAGTGGGTTAAGCCTCTGCCTTTGGCTCAGATCATGATCTCAGGGTCCTGGGATCAAGCCCTGCATTGGGCTCTCTGCTCAGCAGGGAGCCTGCTTCCCCCTTTCTCTCTGCTTGTCTGCCTACTTGTGATCTCTCTCATAAATAAATAAAATCTTTCAAAAAATAAAATCAGATGCTTCTTTCCACGTGGAGACAGTCTTTTTTGTTGTCTGTAGGTGATGTAGGTGTAGATACAGAATAAATAAGCAAAATTTGCTTCAGTTATCAAATACTTAGAAATACTTTAGCTGGGGCACCTGGGTAGCTCAGTGGGTTAAAGCCTCTGCCTTCGGCTCAGGTCATGATCTCAGGGTCCTGGGATCGAGCCCCACATCGGGTTCTCTGCTCAGCAGGGAGCCTGCTTCCCCCTCTCTCTCTGCCTACTTGTGATCTCTGTCTGTCAAATAAATAAATAAAATCTTAAAAAAAAAATACGTTAGCTGATACCCGAGGTAAAAGTTACAAATTCTGTTATCAGAATTCAAGCAGAATATTTGCTGTTTCAAGCCATGCTAACCTTTTTTTAAAACTTAGCGACTATTTCATTTGGCATGGAGGACCTCAACTAAATAAGCATCCAAAGGGGGGAATAGACTATTAATGCCCAGCAGGAATTCAGAAACACAGTAAATGCCTTTCTTATGTTGTGTTCTGTATCTGCCTGTTCGTAGGCTCTCATATGGAATCCCAAGAGGACAGCTGTTGGTTTGTCATATTTTCCAGGCCCAGTGCCCTTTTAGAAACCAGTTATCTATGATATGTTGACACCAGGACACACAATTGGCACTCAATAAGTAACTCCTTTTTTAATTGTTTTTAATTTTTTTTTTCAGTAAGAAACTCTTAAATAAATAAATCAAAAGAAGATACTAGATGTGTGGTTCCTGCTAGTAAAAGTTTACAAATAAAGTAGGGATGATAATTCCTGAAACCAATTAAATAAAAAATCTATAATCTCCACCGTATAGTGGCATGTCAGGATAAGAGGAACAACTAATAAATTGTGTAGCTATTCAGTAAGTGGAAAGAAAGGCTTTTGAAGTTGATGGGCTTGAGCTAGACCTTGTATGTGTGCTTCTAGAAGACTTCTGGGCTGAAGATGTATAAAAACTGCCCCTTTGATACTCTTGATAGTTCTGTCTCCCTCAGGATCAGACCGCTTTTTGGTTTTGCTTTAAAAAGAGATAAGATCCTAGCAGTCCCGTTACGTGAGCCAAGAAAGGCAATTTTTTTTTTAAAAGATTTTGTTTATTTATTTGACAGAGATCACAAGTAGGCAGAGAGGTAGGCAGAGAGAGAGGAGGAAGCAGGCTCCCCGCTGAGTAGAGAGCCTGATGTGGGGCTCGATCCCAGAACCCTGGGATTGTGACCTGAGCTGAAGGCAGAGGCTTTAACCCACTGAGCCACCCAGGCGCCCCAAGAAAGGCAATTTTTATGTTAAGGTGCACTTTTATTGTATTTGCCTCTCTATATCGTATTATACTTAGTTGTTTATATCTGTGTCTATATACTTTCCATATGGGAGGCGCCTCATAGATGTTTGTTGAATAAAGAAGAGTGTATGCTCCTGATGGGTAAGAATGTGTTTTGTTGTTTTTTGTTTCCTCATGTGCACTGAAGCAAATTGAGATTGGTGACGTTTCTTAAGATTGGTTCTTGGAATATTTATTCAGTCTTCAGTGATTGTGTTGCTGCAGTTTAGCTCACCCCACAATGGGTGTTTTAGTATTGCCTTTCTCCGGTTCAGCAAAGGTATATTTTGATGACCTCCCTTTTGACCGGGTCTAATCCAAAGATTGATCTATAGGCAATAGCTGAAGAAGATCACTTCTGTGAAGACAGGTACACACTCATGCACCAATTCCCTTGTCTGAGTAATGTTTAAATAAATACTTCTCCCAAAGTCATCAACTTGCCCCATAACACACCTCTTTCTGGAGCACAAGTAGGAGCTCCTTGTAGAGGATCTTTGCCCTTCTCACTCTCCAGGACTTCTCTAATGTCTTCTAAGAATTTACTTTCTTTCTCCATTAACCATTAGTTAAGAGAAAAAGTGGCTTTGTGTAGTGTCTGGGGGATAAATCGCCACATCCCATTTCCTTCTCTGTGAGCAGGATTTCCACTTTCCAAGCCTGATGGGATCTCCCTGCGGGAACAAGATCTACAGGTCTTTGATCTGGAAACTAAGAATAGAGAAGTCTTAAGAGATGACTGCTCAGGTGAGTAAGGTAGAATCAATCAGATGGAATTAGTAGGGAAGTAAGATTCAAATTGTTGAGCCAAACTGTAGCTGCTTTGGCAGTCAGAATGAAGAGCTCGGTCTCTACACTAGATGGCAAGCTCCTTTGTTTTCCCTTCATTTTGATGAATTCTTTGCATTTATTTTATCCCTTTTCACCCACAAGTTGTACTGGGTCCCTATAAATCTTTTGAATTACTTCCCTGTTACCTGCTTTGAACCATCTTAATTGGTTACCTTCTGTGCCAAAAACGTCCTCTGTTTTACCACACCCTGAACCGTTTGTATGTTAACCTCATTGCTCCTGTTCATGCCCTTACATCTGCTGTTCAGATTTTGTGCCTCTGCTTCAGAGTAAATAAACTCTCATTTTAGTAAATTCTAGATTATTTAGTTTTCTCTCCTCTCTGAGGTTCCCCCCCACCTCCGCAAGCACAGGGTACAGATTACATTTGCATTTTCTATTTATATATTGAATCAGATGGAGAGACCAGAGAAGAGAACAAGCTGTTGATTCCTAAGCAGGAAATTTTGGAAGAAGTACATTCGTATAAAGTGAGAGTAGGAAGACTCAAAAAGGATATTGCCCAAGTTCCTGGGACTAGAGAAGTGTCTAAACCTGAGGACAGATTAGAAAGGCTTCAGGAAATCCTAAGGAAATTTCTCTTCCTGGAGAGAGAGTTTAGGCAAATAACAATCAGCAAGAAAGCCTTCACCAGTGACAACAGTGAATGTAATGAACCTGAGAAAAGCTTCAGTTTGGACTCTACCCTTGATACAGATCAGAGAGTTCTTAGAATTCAGAATATTGATGATACTGATAAGTATGACATGGGGGTGAACCAGAATTCAGCTGCTGGGAAACAAGAACAAATAAATCTCATACAGGATGTTCAGAGTAGTGAATATAAGGAAAGCTTAATGGATCTCTCCCACCTTAGTAAATGTGACAGCATTCCTGCCACTGAGAAATCCTATAAATGTGATGCATGTGAGAAGGTCTTCCATCAGAGCTCTGCCCTTTCTAGACATCAGAGAATTCATACTAGAGAGAAACCCTACAAGTGTAAAGAATGTGAAAAATCTTTCAGTCAGAGTTCAAGTCTTAGTCGACATAAAAGAATACACACTAGAGAAAAACCCTATAAATGTGAAGCATCTGATAAATCCTGTGAAGCATCTGATAAGTCCTGTAGTCAGAGCTCCGACATAACTCCACATAAGAGGATTCACACTAGAGCAAAGTCTTATAAATGTAGTAATTGTGAAAGAGTTTTCAGTCGTAGTGTACATCTTACTCAGCATCAGAAGGTTCACAGAGAGATGCCCTGTAAGTGTACTGTATGTGGCAGTGACTTCCACCATACCTCATACCTTGCCGAACATCAGAAAGTCCACTGTGAAGAGAAAGCCTATGAATACAGTGATTGTGGGTTGACCTTTGTTAAACATCAAGGAATTCATCTCAGAGAAAAGCCCTATACGTGTAATGAATGTGGCAAAGACTTCAGACTGAATTCCCATCTTATTCAGCATCAAAGAATTCACACAGGAGAGAAACGACATGAATGTAACGAATGTGGAAAAGCTTTCGGTCAAACTTCATGCCTTATTCAGCATCACAAAATCCACGGGCGAGAGAAATCCTATGAGTGTAATGAATATGAGGAAAGTTTCAATCACAGCTCAGATCTTGTTCTTCAGCAGGAAGTCCTCACCAGAGAAAAAGCCTTTGATTGTGATGTATGGGAAAAGAACCTCGGTCAGAGAGCACACCTCATTCAACATCAAAGAATTCATACCAAAGAGAAACCTTACGAATGTGATGAACGTGGAGAGACCTTTAGTCAAATTCAGGCCTCCTTCAACATCTGAGAGGTTATACCAGGGAGAAAGCATATATGTACTGAAGGTGGTGAAGCCTTCAGTCACAGCTCAACCTTTATTTAGCATCGGAGAATCGACACCAGAGAGAAACCCTCTGAATGTGACGAATGTAGGAAGACTATTTGCCAGTGTTAAACTTCATCGACATCTGCAAACCCATACCAATGAGAAAATCTACGAATATATTGAATGTGGTAAATGCTTCATGCCATTTTCATACCTTAGTCACCATTGGAGAATTCTTAACTGGAATAAAATTCCATCACCATAATAAATGTGAAATAGCCTTCAAAGTAACTACCTTGCTCAGCATCAAATTCATTCCATGCAGGAAGCCTATGAATGTAATAAATACGTATGCACATGGGAGGATTCAGTCATATTCTACCCCTTACTCAACGCTAAAGAATCCATGCCCAGGAGAAGCCATTCAAGTGTAGCAAAGGTGACAGATCTTCCAGTAGGAGTTAAAGTCTTTTTCATCATTAGAATCTCCACACCAGATCACAATCTGCTAATAATGCAAATGGAAAAAATGTACTTCTACATTTCAGGCTTTACTCAACATCAAAATATTGGAGAGAAAATTTTATATAAAGTTGTTAATATATAGCCCTGATCTTTCTCATTGCAGAAGAAGATAGTCTGAAGAGTGACTTGATGCAATGCAGTGCTGATTCCTCATGGCATTCTTTTATTTAATAGGTGGTGTAAGTAGGTATATAAAATATATGGAACTCATTTAAACTATTTTTTAAAATATGGCCTACGAACATTTTTTTTTCCTGCAATTTGGTTCCCGTTACAGCTTCTCTAAGATATTGTTAATATACCAATGTAAAGACATAATTAACTTCTGGAAAGTAGCTCATTTAGCTGTTTCTGCTGTTCTCAGCCCAAGTTCTCTCCAAAACAGACTCTTAGGTCTGCTGTTTCCTGAGCATCCTACTCTCCTGTTCCTTTCCAGGCACAACACTTGGATTCCTGTTAATTTCTCCATTTTCTTAGTACCGTCAAATGATGGTTTTCTAGTTTTAAGCATCTCACCAGCAGGTATGCCGTCCCTACTTGATGTTCGTGTTCTGGTGTCTTTTTTCCTAAAGTAAAGCATCTACCTTTAAAAAGAATTGGAATTCCGCATCCTGTCCATCCATGCGTTTGAAGGATTCCATCTCTGCTCTGTTTGTGGCAGGCAGCTACACATTTTCAAATGACACCCAAGTTCTTAGCTGCCTTGTCTGCATCCACAGCCCTCTAAAAGAGATAAGGACATCAGGGAACCAACAAGACTCCTGGTGGTCTAGCTACATTCATTCAGCACCTATTCTGCATGTCAAGGTTTAGAATTATTTTATATACTTCTGTTGAAGTCCAGCAAAATGCTCAGGTCTGCTTTTGATAGGGGCCAAATAAAAGAACATACACAGAAAAGTCAGAGAACTTCATAAGGGAATGCAGCTTTTCAAAAAAGATACTGCTGTTCTTCTTTAATCTCTCTGGAGAGAGAATTTCAAGAGTGGCAGGTATTCCTGATACAATTTTAACCACTACGATTGCTTCTTCATCTGTTTGGATTTTTGCCCCCCTCTCCCATCAGTCCAGGACAGTATTTGAAGTGTGGGGGCTTTGTGTATAATTGTTTATTCATCATCACATTTTCTGTATTTTATGAGTCTGCAGGCCAAGAACTTGGTTTTTTGATTGATAAAAGTGATTACAGATGTCAGGATGTCCAGAGTTCAGGGTCTCTGTCAACAACTCGCCAAGAATTCATGATTGTTTAGATGATGTTAGAGCATTTTATTATATTTTTCCATCTCAAGTTTCATAACATTTTGTGAATAAGATGTCACTTAAAAGTCTTACTGTCATTCCAGCAAGTGAGGCCTTCGTAGTTCAGATGTTACAATATTTACTAGGGATCCTCAACAAATATATAACAATTTATTGCTTATTCTATAATCCTCTTATGGCTAAGCTCTAAGATAGTTCTACCACCATATTTTGCCTCTTAGCCGTCAGCAAGCATAGAATCTTATCAGGGCAAAGTAGAGATCTAAATGAATTGATTTAAATGTAAAAGCAAATGAAAAATGCATGTTTTTTCCCCTTGTTTATGAATGTGTATGCCCTTATGTACAGAGACCAATGGTCACTTCTGGTGATTATGAAACAGATTAAACCCTAAATAACAGAATATGTAAAAATCACATGTATGCATTTGGTTTAGGAATGTGCTTTTGTACTTCCACTTGAATAAAGGTGTGTTTGATACTCAGAATCTGTTTCAAAAAGTATCTCAAGGCCTCAACCAGAAGCATTTGGAAATCTTGGAATCACCTTCCTGGCTGTGACTCACTTCCTTCCAGAAACCTAGATCACCCTCTTTCATACTGATACAAAGCTTGCTCTTCCACAGACTTCGGGAACAAAGTCCATTGGAATGTTGAGGATTTTAAGATTTGTTCAGTTAGGATTTTGTTGGCACATAAATAGTTTGAGGTTTCAGTAGAACTAGGCAGAGTGTGTGTGTGTGTGTGTGTGTGTGTGTGTGTGTGTGTGTGTTAAATAAGTAAAACATTTAAAAAAATGAGAAGCCAAAATAATTCTGGAGGACAATTAACTTGCCTCTTTAAACTTGTGATATTTAATCAGTCCAATATAATATGAGTTTGTGTTATTAGTCTTTTAATCTTGAAGATTGAGGAGGGAAGAGATCTAATAGTTGAGGTCTACCAGATTTATCTTCTATCAGTCCACCTACCTACATGCGTATGTATGTATATTCATAGTCAGACCTAATTCTTACAACTCCACAAGGGAACTAGCTCCATTTTACAGAGGAACTGAAGTGTAGAGAGGTTGAAGAATCTGTTAGGGTCACTCAGCAAGTTAATGGCTCAAGTCAGGCCTGACTCCAGGCTTTCCATCGTCATGATGTTGGTGTTAGACACATCCCAGAACCCAGAGAAGTTTTCTTTGATAGCTCTTCATTCCCTGTTATATCCTCAGTGGTTGACTATTACCAGTTTGCAGTTAATCTGAATGCTTCCAGAGCTGTCTGGAGTACTACTAGAGTATTCAAGGTACTCTCCATATCTTTGGGGAGCAAGTCAGAGATCCTGCTCCCTGAAACAGGCTTAGATAATTTTGACAATGACATGCCACAGGTCAGAGCTTCCAAATTCTTGACCTCCTGTCAAGCTATCCCAGCTCCCATCACTATACACATTTCCATTTCTCAGTGGCCAGAATGTGCTCTTTTCCCCTGCTAATTGGAACTTGCTGACTGATGGACATGTATTAGGTTTCCTATCACTTCTGATTAAATTATAGCAGTGAACAGGGTGGGTAATGGGAAAATCAAGTTTGATTACTAGGTTTTTTTTTTTTTTTAAAGATTTTTATTTATTTATTTGTCAGAGAGAGAGAGAGGGAGAGAGAGCGAGCACAGGCAGACAGAAAGGCAGGCAGAGGCAGAGGGAGAAGCAGGCTCCCTGCTGAGCAAGGAGCCCGATGTGGGACTCGATCCCAGGACGCTGGGATCATGACCTGAGCCGAAGGCAGCTGCTTAACCAACTGAGCCACCCAGGCGTCCCGATTACTAGGTTTTTTACTTGAGCAGAGAGTGGATAGATGTAGACTGGAGAGATGGGGACCACTGGAAGAGGAGCAGGGGGAGTATTTCAGGCAAAAGAGCATGTCAGAAGGCCTCCAGATGAAAGAGTTTGGCATCTTCAATGTAGTAAGCTCTCTGGAGGAATGGCTCACCCTAGGAAGTAGTGGGCAACTGAGGAAATGTAAGAATGAAGTTCAAAGGTGGCCCCTTGGGTGTCATAACCGCAAAGCACAACGGGATTCCCACATCTGAAAGTGTGACCTCATCTATCCTTTCATTCATAGTAATACAGTTGCCAGATGCTGTGTGATATTCAGTGCTAACCTGTGGGCACAGTTAAACCATCTACTAAGTAATGAAGACAACATTAGTCACAGCAATGGCTTGAAAATTGGACATACCTGTGTTTCAACTTTGCTGTTTACTAGCTGTGTGACTTTGGACATTTTAGCCTCTGGTTTCCTTGTCCATGTGATGATTAATAATAGCATGAAAATTAAACCAAGTAATGGAAAAGGTACTGGTCATGTATTAAGTGCCAAAGAATTACAAATATAAACATCACTATAAAAACCAGTGAGAATGTAAGTGTTTAGCATGAAGTCTAAAAAAGAGCGAATTAAAGAGCAAGCATTTAGCAGTGCAGGACTAGCATTGTCCAGGGAGGGATACCCTGGGTTTGGAGAACTTAAATATGGGTTGAGAGGTCATCAGGAATCCTAGACTGGTAGGAACTGCCTCCCCATAGGCGCTCCTTACTGGAGTTAGCAAACCTTGACATCTCTTTTCGCTAAGATTTGTACCCTTTGGGATCACATCTTACACTCCCTTCAAAATATGAGTGCATGAATGAACCAGTGTTTAATCCGAGACTGGAAGGATGATTTCAAACAGGTAGTGCACTGTACAAGTCAATGAGAAAATAAATACTGGAATTTTTCATTTTGCTGATGCATCTTGTTCACACTCTTCACTTTTATTTTTTTAAGATTTTATTTATTTGGCAGAAATGCAGCGAGAGAGGGAACACAAGCAGGGGGAGTGGAGAGGGAAAAAGGATTTCTGCTGAGCAGGGAGCCTGATGTGGGGCTCCATGCAGGGCTCATCCCAGGACCTTGGGATCACGATGGGAGCTGAAGGCAGTCGCTTAACAACTGAGTCAACCAGGCACCCCCACACTCTTCACTTTTAGAAAATGGTTGACCTCATATTTGTAATCCATTCATGTTTATAAATTTACAACTTGGGCATAATGCCAGTGTCTGTCTTTTTTCCCCCACACCTGCTCCAATTACAAATCTCCACCCAGTCTAGCCTTTGTCCTTCCCCAGACTCTGGTTTGAACTGGCCAGGGGTCTAAAGGCCGCCTTTACTTACTGAGTCTGCAGTTTGATGCACCTAAAATTGTGAAAAAGTACGAACTTCATGGGATTGTTGTGAAAATTAATGAGACGCCATTTTACTCCATAAGTGGTAACTGCTGTTTCTGAGTTTAGCAGGAAATATCCCTATCAGGAACAATTCATTTCCCTAACATTTTTCCTGCATCAACGTATCAAATATACCTCTGGCAAACTTACCTAGGCACAGTAGGGTGTTTGAAATCTTGATCCTATTTCTGAGGCTTTTCTTCCTCTTTTAGCCCATGGATACCAATATGTTATACCTGCTTACTTACATACTCCAGGCCCAGTTAGGGGGTACTGGAGTAGTGTAGGGGTTGAAGCGACATAGGGAGAGGACAGGCTGGATTGCGGGTATAGATAAGGGATTTCCTCCCAGCAGGGTCATCCCGCCTTGTGATTTGGAAGAAGGGAGGTGGGAATGGGTGGTAAAACCGCAGGGGTCAAGGGAGTAGGCGAATGGGGGCGCATACAGGACAGTAGGGGTGAGAAAGAAGTAACCAATTTAGATCCTAGGTCCACATGGGTGATGAAGGGCAAATAGGGAAATCTAGCCCCATCTCCCTCAATGCCTCCTTGGGGCGGGAAAGAGACGCGATCCCAAGCCGGTCTGGGCCAAGCTCCCCCTCAGCGGCTCCTGAGAACTCGCGATCGAGAGGAGACCTCCGAGCTGCCTAGACGGGACCCGGAAGTGCGCACGGGGGAGCCCGAGTTTCCAGTCGTGCCGGCGGACCGTGGTCGACGCTGCTGCGGAGCGGTTGCGCCAGTGAGTATCGAGGTCCGGGACCGGGAGCTGCCGGCCAGCGCTGTCGCTAGGGGAGAAGCATGGTCCTGCGGCAGGGGTGGGGCTCGGGCCGAGGGGACCCAGGTGGCGTGGGGTGGGGCCTCAGGCCGGACCGCGCCCCCGGCTCCCGGGCCCAGCCTGCCAGCGGGGAGATAAGTGGGACCCTCTTCTGGAAAAGCTTCACTTGCCGGTTCCCCTACATCTGCCCTCTTCTCCCTCCCTTTCCCGCAGTGACTGCCCGTCCGTTGTGCCGCGCTCTAAAGAAATTTTAGAGGTCTTGTGTTTGGAGCAGCACCGGGGATTGGATCCAGCCCATGGAGAAGCTGCCTGAGCAGATAACCCCGGAGTCCCTGTACCCATCCTCCCAGCAGGAGCCCCGAAAGAGCAAGGGTGAGGAGCTGACCTAGCTGGCTTTCTTTGTCTAAACTTTGTCCTTCCAGCCGCGGCCTCGGATCAGATGGACACGATTAACTTTACACTTAGAATTGGCCTGGTGGAAAACTACTCCCCCCACCCCTTTTTTTTTAACCTCAGGGCTCTATTACCTGTAAATAAAGCCTTTAACCAAAGTTTCCTCTCTTGACTGTGTGGAGCAGACCTGCCTCAGCAGTACTATCCTAGCACTAAGTCTTGGAGGATCTGTCATTCCAGCACCTGCCAACTTGCTTGGCTTTTGGAGCAGCTCAGGAAATGTGTGAATAAATGAATGAATGAACTCAGCCGAGTATGTCCCATACCTGAAGTACCAGGAAAAGAGCGGGCTTCTCCGCTCATCCTACCCAAGCTCTCCTTCATCCTTAGGGAAGATACATTTACTACCTGAGGTGTAAACTCCAAGAGGGTGCTTTGCCTGTGGAGTACAGTAGATAAGCTGCCACCTGCTGATGGAAAATGAGGTTAAGCTATTAGTATCAACATTTTTTCCCTGAGTATCAACATTTTTATTTCAATCTGCCATCCATCCCACCATTAAGTAGTATATGTCTAGCCATTAAAAAAAAGATTATTAAAATGGGTAACAAAGACTTAGATAAAGACTCTGAGATGGCTTATTTTTGGGGAGATTTTCTTTTACACATTTATTTGTAAGAACTACGTTTTCAGACTAATTTGTTAACTTGACAGGTATTGATTGAGCTCTTAGTATGAGGTGTTGGGACGAAGTTGGAAGAAAACCAAACCCCTACTCACCCGCAAACTTGAGTTGGAATAGTTATCTGTAAGAGGCTTTGGGACAATAAACTGTAGAAGTTTGCAAGAGGAGATCCCCGTAGACTGGTTTTTGGCCCTGGAAGTCTTAGAAAGTCAGAAGTCTCACCTTGAAAGAATTTAGAGTAAGAAAGGTATGAAGTTGGCGTTTCTCTTTTAAGTAGTATACTATTGTTGTATTTATTTATTTATTTAGAGCAAGTGAGCGAGCGGAGGAGCAGAGGGAGAGGGAAAGAATCCTAAGCAGGCTCCATGCCCAGCATAGAACCCGACATGGGGCTCGATCTCACGACCCTGAGATCGTGACTTGAACTGAGATCAAGAGTCGGACACTTATCTGACTGAGCCACCCAGGCGTTCCAGAAAGGAGTCAAGTTTTTTTTTTTTTTTTTCCTAAAGATTTTTTAAAAATTTATTTATTTGACAGAGATCACAAGCAGGCAGAGAGGCAGGCAGAGAGAGGAGGAAGCAGGCTCCCCACTGAGCAGAGAGCCAGATGTGGGGCCAGTCCCAGGACCCCAAGACCATGAGCTGAGCTGAAGGCAGAGGCTTTAACCCACTGAGCCACCCAGGAGCCCCGAAAGGAGTCAAGTTTTAAATGAGAGGGGATAGATGCTTACCATAGGCTCTCTTCTAAAATACTCATTTACCTTCTAAAATACTCATTTACTCATGTTGGTTCACAGTACCCACTGCATTCAGTCCATACTCCATAACCTGGCATCCAGGGTCCTCTGCAGTGTGGCCTCAACCTACCTTGAAATCTTTCCTGTGTGTTCCCCAAAACAAACCCAGCAAGACTGGTGTGTCTGCACAAAGTAATGCCACAGACCCTGCACTCTCCACCATTGTGCCTTTGTGTCCTTTTTCTCATGTGCATTGCTGTCCCCTACATTCTCTGCCTACCCAAACGCCACATATCCCAGCGTCCCATGCACGGCAGCCTCCTCCATGAAGTTTATGAAACAGACTTGGGCTGTGAGGAAGGAAACAAACAGATGCAAGAGACGTTTACATGAAAACCCAAGGACCTGATGGTTGATTGAGCATTAGGGAGGAATTGGGTACAATCGCCCTCGTTCCCATCACTGTCATACGCCTTAAAAAAAATTATCACTAGTTGCTTTTGCTTTTATAACGCAGGGCACTGCTTCTGCTCCTTCAGAATTGATCAAAGCCATGTTGCCAGTGGCTTAGCTAATGAATCCACTGGACACCTTTTTTCAGCTTTAATTTTTTGGCGCCTTATAACTATTTTTTTGTTGATGTGATCGCTGTTCCTTGCACATCGTGTTCTTTGGTGTTGGAAGTACTCGTGTTCTTTGGTGTTGGAAGTACTCTTCTCTTTTCTTCTGGTCTTGCCTTCTCGGGCCTTCCCCACTCCTGTTTCTCCATCTGTTTTTAAAACATTGGTTTTTCCCCAAGACTGTTCTTAGCCCTCTTTTTTTCACTCCTGTGGGTGATCCTATCCCCTTTCAGGACCTCTCTTAACTGCTTTCTTCTGCTCTTGCTGCCAGCTGGTTCCTGAATACTAGATGTTCATGGGTGTGCTTCGGAGCTCCTTGTTTTCTGCCAGGCCCTCACCTCCCTACCTTCCAGTGACTACCTTGGTTAATTTTAGTAACTGGTTTTCCCAAGCTGGAAAATTTGGAGTTGTACTCTACTATTCTCCTTCCCTCCATATTCAGTCAGCCACTGCCAAATCCTGTCAGTTTTTCTTCAGAAAGGTCTGATTCTGTTGCCTGTGACTGCCATTTCCTCACTTTAGACCCATTCTAGTTTTCTTGGAGCATTGACACATCCCTGTGCTATTGGCCATGTTTCCTACTCTAGGCTGTCCTCCATCTGCTGCCAGAATGAATTTCCCTGGAAACAAATTTGATCAAGTCAGTCTCTGTCCAAAGCCCTGGGTGTGGCATATATGCTTCTTCATATCTGGCTCTACCCTTTTCCTATTTTCCTTTTTTCCTTCCTTCCTTTCTTCCTCTCTTGAGAGAAAGAGAAAACACGAGTGGGGGGGGCAGCATCCTAAGCAGACTCTGTGCTCAGCGAATAGCCCAGTGTGGGCTTGATCTCATGACCCCAGGATCATGACCTGAGCCGAAATCGAGTCAGACACCCAACTGATTGAGCCTCCCAGGCACCCCGTCTGGTTCTCCTCTATTTTTCTGCTGTATCTCTGGCTTCCTGCCCACATGGGCCATATATTTCACTCACATGGAGGTTTTCTTTTCTTTTTTTTTTTTTTTTAAATATTCCTTAAACTTAGTGTTCCCCTCCATGTTGCTGAGCCTTCACAGATGCTGTTACTTTTGCCTGGAATATTCTTCATCTTGTTGATCCTGATCATAGTTCAAGATCCAGGTCAACGTCATTCTTTGAGGCTGCCATCTCCAGTTCACCTAGGTAGGGGTTGTCCTTCCTGATTGTGCTTTGAAGCACCTTTATAAGCCCTCTACTGGTATCTTGCATATAGTAGGTGGGATGTACGTTGGCTGATTGGCTAAATCAAACAGGGAGTATATTCATTTCCTAGGGCTTCCGTAACGAATTACCACAACTTCATGGCTTCATACAGCAGAACTGTATTCTCTTGCAGTTTTGCAAACTAGAAGTCCACGAAGGCTGTGCTGCCTCAGAAGGCTCTAGGGTAGAATCCCTCCTTGGCTGTTCCCAGCTTCTGGTGGTCCCCAGCAATCCTTGCTGCTTCTTCGCTTAAGGCCGCCTCACTTGTCCCATGGCTTTCTTTCCTGTGTGTTTCCATGTCTGAATCTTCCTCTCGTTTCTCTTATATGGATGGTAGTCATTGGATTTAGGGCCTACCCGAATCCATTCTGACCTCGTCTTAACTCTGCAAAGACTCTGCTTCCAAATAAGGTCATATTTGAGGTTCCAGGTGGACATGAATCAGTGGGGGGCGGGGCAGGGAAACGGCACTGTTGGACCCAGTACAATAAGTAATGCTCATTTCTTCTGCTGTTAGAAGTAAATATACTTGGGATCCCACAGCTTTGTAGTTAGGGTTAGAAGAACTACTTTCCCCCCTTCCCTTTAAATTAGAAGATCAGTGAAGAAATTCTTTTTTTTTTTAAAACTTCATCCACAGGGACACATTTGATTTGTTTATTTCAGGGGACAACTGCTCTCTTCTTGGGCTTCTCGAGGTCTGTCTCAGTCTGGCCACTGTCTGCTGAAGCATTCCAGAAGGTCCTACTCTCTACCAGGGTTCGAATTCAAGTTTTTGATATTTTTTCTGTAAGTGGCTCTGACCCATGAGGAGATACATCTCTCTGAATTGTTTGCGCCTCAGTCCTGAAGATGTTTTACAAATGGTCTGTTTGGGCCCCTCAGTGACTTAACGATTCTTCTCTGGATTGCTGGGAGATAAACAGGAGCATTTTTTTAGTTTTGTTTTTTTGAAGATTTTATTTATTTGAGAGAGAGAGAGAGATAGCAAGAGAGATCATGAGTGGGGAGGAGAGGAAGCAGGCTCCCCGATGAGCAGAGAGCTTGATGTGGGTCCAGATTCTGGGATGCGGAGATCATGACCTGAGCCATAGGTAGATGCTTAACCAACTGAGCCATTCAGGTGCCCTAATTAGGAGCATTTTGAAGCGCCAAACTGTGTGCAGGGTTCTTTACATAGTACTGGGCTGGAGACAAAGAAATGGAAGACATCATTTTTTTTTTTTTTTTTATATTTTATTTATTCATTTGACAGAGATCACAAGTAGGCAGAGAGGCAGGCAGAGAGAGAGGAAGGGAAGCAGGTTCCCTACTGAACAGAGAGCCTGACGTGGGGCTCAATCTCAGGACCCTGAGATTATGACTTGAGCTGAAGGCAGAGGCTTTAACCCACTGAGCCACCCAGGCACCCCTGGAAGACATTTTTATTTTATTATTATTATTTTTAAAGATTTTATTTATTTATTTGACAGAGATCACAAGCAGGCAGAGGCAGGCAGAGAGAGAGGGGGAAGCAGGCTCCCCACGTAGCAGAGTCCAATGCGGGGCTTAATCCCAGGACCCCGGGACCATGACCTGAGCCGAAGGCAGAGGCCTCAACCCACTGAGCTACCCAGGTGCCCTGGAAGACACCTTTTAATCTAGAGATACTTTCAATATAAATTGAAGGGAACACACACAACTAAAAATACTTCCAAGGAGAGGCCCCAAGACGA